GGTGACGTTGATTTCCCCGTAATTATTGAGCCACTGTAGTTTGTAAGGCCTCGGATGCAAATTCATCCTCAAATTAAGTCTTTTCACTGCGAGGTCACTAATCACATTAGTACAACTACCACCGTCAATGATAAGACTACATACCTTAGTCGCAATCTTACACCTTCCATGGAATAAATTTTCGCGTTGTTCGGTGTCTTCAACCTCCTTTGGAAGAGTGCTAAGAGCTCGGAGAGTGACTAACGTCAAATTGGACTCCGGTATGGATTCTACAGCTTCCTGTTGGTAGGAGTTTGCCTCATTGACCTCTTCAGTTTCTGATTCAGATTCGTACTCACCGGAGATCGTAAGAACCATAGTACGCTTGTTTGGACATTGATTCGCAAAATGTCCTCGGCCTTGGCATTTGAAACATAACACATCTCGGCTACGGGTGGTGCTCTTTGGGGGGGCATATGTTGGCGGCTTAGGCCGCGTCGAATCAACTCCCGCTATCTCTTTTCCTTTGTTGATATGTTGTGAAAGTGGCGCTTTAGGAAACCCTACAGTTGGAGAAAGTTTAAACTGATTACCTTGCATCCGCTTTGATTTTAGTTGCTTCTCCACCTTTATGGCCAAGTGTATCATCTCCTCAAGGTCCACGTATTGGTACATCTCTACCGCATCAGCAATATCCCTTTGAAGTCCATTCGAGAATCTAGACATCGTTTGCTCCTGATCTTCATGGATATCGGCTTGTAGAAGAAGTGTTTCAACCTCCTTATAGTACTCCTCCACTGACCGCGCCCCTTGTTGTATACTCTGCAATCTCCGCAATACTTCACGATGGTAATGAGGGGGAACAAACCTCTTTCGCATGAGTGTACGAAGTTCTGTCCAAGTACGCACTGGAGCCTCCCTATTTCTGCGGCGGTTGATGCTCAATTGGTCCCACCATGCAAGCGCATAATCTGAAAACTCCATTACGGCCACACGGAGTTTTTGTTGGTCAGTTAATTGTTGAACATCAAAGATTAGTTCTAACCTTCGCTCCCATTGCAAAAATGCTTCAGGGTCGGATTTTCCTTGGAACGGTGGCACTTGGAACTTAATCGAGTTGATCGCCTCATCTCCATCCCGTCGGTGATGGTTATTATGATGCCTAGGTCATTCCCAATTTCCTCCAAACTCCTCATCATCGGGTTCGTCAGTGTTGTGTGGTGATGGGGGCCAGATGTTGCGTCTTGGCCTCAAATGCGGTTGAACATTATTTCGCCTTTGAGCTTCAGGTAACGGTCGGATATTCTCTTGTAACTTTTGTTGATTCTCTTCCAGTTGATCCATCCTATTATTCATCAACTCCAATCCAGAATGGTGAAGAGTTTTGAACTCTTGTAGAATGGTGTTGAGAAGACCTTGTACATCAACTTGTTGAGAATTGGATCCTTCACCCCCTGCCATTAGAAATAGAAGAAAAAAAACAAAGAAAATAACCTCACTAGAACTCTCGTATATCACTCCACACCTTATGTACCTCTTCGTCTCGCAAAAAGTACTCAAATCAAATCGATGGAATTCTCCCAAAGACGATAGCCAAAAAATCCAAAACAGTAGGGAAACCAAAAGAAATATAAGTTCAGAATGAAGGTAGAAGACAAATAATCTAAATAGATTATTTTTTTTTTGTTTTTTTGATAAAAGAAAAGATGATTCGAGAACTAGAAGTAAATAACAAATATATTATATTTGATAATAACTTTTTTTTTTTTTCGTTTTTTTTTTCGTTTTTTTTTTTTGCTTTTTTTTTACTCTTTTTTTTTTTTGCTTTTTTTTTTTCAAATAAGAACCGTGATATCAATCAAGAGATTGTATCAACTAGCTCTGATACCAGATGACACGGCCCGGCCGCGTATAATTATAACCAACATAATATTCTTACCCACAAAGTTCAATAGAACAAATGGATTAACAATATGTATAAAAGAAAAGAGAAGGAAGAAGAAAGATAGTGCAGAGAATGTGAATTAGTATAGATGATAACCAACCACGAGAATAAGTCTCGGACCTGAAATCAATCTATAGGTAAAACACAAACAATAGGCTAAATCCCACTGCAAAGGATTGGAAGCCACGAACCGATGGAATCACTCCAAAGACCCGATTTGAGATTCTAAATGCGAGGAAATCACTCCCTAACACTAGAAAATATAAAAGTGAAATTCAATTCAAGATGTAAAAAAGGTCCGCATTACAATGATAGGCAAGGACCTTATATAGAGGTCCTTGAGGAAAATAAAAGGCAACAAATAATAAAGGAAACAAACCAAAAGGTAAGTCTAACTATAAGGAAATAAATAATTAGGGAAGTTTTAGATATGGAATTATTCTATATGGAAACTTATAATAAAAGGAAATTAGTGATGATTCCCTTGATATACTTCCATGATTTAGTGATTCTCTCCATAAGTGATGATTCCCTTGATATACTTCCATGATTAGTGATTCTCTCCATAAGTGAGGATTCTCTTGATATACTTCCATGATTAGTGATTCTCTCCATAAGTGATGATTCCCTTGATAACCTTCCATTATTAGCGATTCTCTTGATCTTTCAATTGGGATTCTTGCGGGTCCCATTGAAGGAGCGTCAGGTGAGGGCTAAGTGGTCTCCAAGCATCATCCTTAAATTGATTCTCCATGAAAAATCATCTGATCAATGCAGTGACGGATTTTTGAAATTGACGAGCTCGGCTTCGAGTGATGGGTCCCACGGGCATTTGAATGCTTGAAGATTGGACGTCCTCGTCAATACCTCAGGAAGAGAATTTAGAGGCAAACAGTTTGGCGCAGTGGGCTTTCGGATTTAAAAGAAAAGGAATACAACCAAGATACGAATGTTTGTAGACTGACCGAAACCCAGACTGGCGAGACCCTTTGCTGAAAGGTTTGAGGGATCCTGAGAAGGTCGCTTCGAAAGCAATGCACCATCAACTTCTAAAATACACTCAAATCGACGGGGAGCTATACTGACGGAAATCCGATGGGACTTTAGCTCGCTTCCTGGGTCATGAGGACGCGATGAAGTTCATGGCCGAGATCCACGAAGGTGTCGGAGACGCCCATAGGGCCGGACACGTTATGAGATGGACGATCCTCCGATACGGCTATTTTTGCCAAAAATCTCACAGGATTGCATAGATTGTGCTCGGGGATGCCCAACATGTCAGCGTCATGCAAAATTCATTCGATTATCAAACCTTGGTCTTTCCGTGGATGGGCGATGTACATCATCGGCAAGATTCATCCTCCATCTTCCAATGGACATTCCTTCATCGTCGTAGCCACCGACTACTTTATGAAATGGACGGAAGCTGTTCCATTGGCCAAGGTACAATATAATCATTTCATATGCTTTATTAAGAATAACATCATTCATAGGTTTGGTATTCCAAAGACGATTACCACCAACCTAGTGACCGTGTTTATGAGTGCGAAGGTCAAGGCATTTTCAGCTCAATACGGGATCCAACTACTCCACTCATCTCCTTATTATCCTCGGGAAAATGAGCAAGCCGAGGCAATGAATAAACTCTTGATTTCCATTATCGAAAAAGTGCTGGAGGACAACCCGAGGGGCTGGCATGATACTTTAGAAGAGGCTTAATGGGCATATCGAAATGCCAAATCCTCTGTAATCGGGAACACTCCTTATAGACTGACCTACGGCCATGACGCTTTGCTTCCATTGGAAATCACAGTCCTTTTTCTCTTAATCTTGAAGGAAAATCAGTTGTCCATGGAAGAGCAAGATCAGGCCCTACTTTAGGAGTTCGACGCCTTGCCTGAAGAGAAGCTGTAAGCTCTTGAGTGCATTCAAAATCAAAAGAAGAAGGCTGAATCGACCTTTCCGGAAGCGTGTGAGGCCCCAAACCTTCCAAGAATGTGACATAGTCTGGAAGACCATCCTCCCGGAAGGTCCCAAAGATGCGAAGCTGAGGAAATGGTCTCCCACATGGGAAGGACCGTTCATGTATCGACCAAGTCATCCAGTGGCGCATATAGATTGATGGAGCCCGAAAGGGAGAAGCTGAAGGTATTTATCAATGGAAAACATTATAAAAGATTTTATCTTTCTCTATGGGAGTTGGGCGGAAGGCGCGATCATGTAGAATGAGGAAAAACATGTGGATAAATCGAGTAACATTTAACAAAATTATCCGGACTACAAATTAACTTTTGTCCAGATAATTTAGTGGGCACATTTGTATACACCCGAATAAATTATGAGGTCGGCCCAATGTCAATGCAGTCCAAAAATGAGATTTTAAGACCAAGGCCACCTCCGACCTGAAACCGGTGTGGGCCATGTCCAACCCTAATCAGTCACAAACTTGTTGCAATACCCGGCCCATTGTCCAGGGAGGCCCAGACCATAATGCAGGTCATCCAAGGTGAAGAAATCTAATCAAAGGTGGTTGAAAGGGATAGGAAGACGTTGGAAGATAATTAGGGATAGGTTTTATCCAAACAAAATTAAAGGAAAATCTAGGGCAGCAAAAAACAGACTCCGTTCACAATCATCTTCTACAATATTTTCTCTGCATTTTCTACTTTAATTTTTTTCAAGAACAATGTAAGTTTTTTACAGCTTTTTCACATTAATTCCAGCTTCCTTTCCAGCTTTCTTCATGTTTTATTAGCTTTACACTACAAAAAAAATCATAAATTGCAATGGAATTTTGCAAGGGTCCACATTTCGTCGCAACTTTGTGATGGACATTGCAAGGATAGCTCTAATCCGTTGTAATTAAGTATTTTTGCAATGGAATATTGAAAAGGATGTAAGAAGTCGTAATATGGCCACATTTTAGTGATGAAATTCGCAAGAAAAATTGTTCCATCGCAAAATAACTATTAAATGGTTACAAATTAATAAGAGATTTTGCAAAAAAAATGTGCTCAATTGCAATTTAGTGACAGAATTTGCACAAAAAATATTCAGTCACAAATGGCTACCTAGACTGAATTGAATGGCTGAATATAAGGAAATATATTCTGCCCCAAAATAAAATTTTTATACGACGAATAATTCAGATCGGTTGCAATTCTGCAAAGGATTCTGTCATGGATTTGCGCACCGTCACATGAGGGCAAAATATTTCCCACTTCCTCTAATTGCACCACCACTCTCCCGCGGAGGTGAACACATCATTGCGCAGCACTCTCCCACCGACGCAAACACATCCATCGCCAGCAACCCCCTCAACGTTGACATCGAGTTCGATCCTTTCTAAGGTTTTTGTACCAGTGACCGGGACTTGGGAGGCTTAATTTTGCTTGGGAAAAAGCCTTTGCAGTTTCATTAGTAAGCTTGCTTTGTGATTTCCCACAATGTAACAATTTCATTAGCTTATTAGGTTCTTTGTTTTGCTAGACCTTGCCGAATCGATTAGGTTTAGCTCAATCTCACTTTGCAACTGCAATTTCAGTTGATTCTATGGATCGACTACTAGCTTGTTGGTTCCTTCGGCTACCGAAATTTCAGTATGTAATTTCTCCTTGTAGTTGTCGCTGAAGATAAAAATATTTTCTACGTTAGAACTCTGGCGAATAGTTATTTTTAATTAATTTTCAGAAATGTGTTGCTCAATTGGGAAACTCGATGGGTCAAATCTGACTGGAAGAGAAATGAGAACATGGCTGGTGAATGGAATCACACTTATGGAAAATGGAATCGAAACTAATCACAAAATTAATAAAATTGTGTTGCGTTGTGCAGTTTTTATAGGTATTGAAAGTACACAGGATGAAAGCTCTATTATTTTTGTTATCTTACTACAGGTATCCAGACAAGTGAAGATTATAAGTTCTATGCCATTTCTGTTGAGTTCCCTAAATTTACCAACAAAGATAAGATCCTAGTTTTCCAGTTCTCTATCAAGCACAATGTTGAGAACCAGTCTGGTAGCTTGTACTCTGACCGGGATATCTACCTACAAAGAAAATCAAGGACACCGAGGCGAAAAAGGTTCTTTCATTTTGGTTCACACATATAAACTAAAAATTCACATTTGTATATCTTGTACTTTAGACAGTGTTATAATTTTTGGGTTTCAATAGCAACCTAAAGACTAGTATGATAAGGAATATATTCCTAATCCTGAAGACAAGAAGCCAGAGGTGATCAATTGTTCCATACATAATTGGCAGAGCACATATCCTACGCAATGGTAATTGTGCAACATGATGATAAGTGCTCGCTGCAACCAACAATTGAATTGTGCTGCCTATGTATTGCATGCCTGTAGAATTTATTTGTGTGTGTGCATGTATGTGTGTTCTAGTCTTGTCTTTAGCTTATGTTATAGAACTCATTTAAGCATACTAGTTTCAATATTCTATAATGGGGAAATGCATACATATTAGAACATTTGTTTGTGTGCAAAATGGAGAACAATCATTATCGTAATGATGGTGGATCATGGTTAATATATATATAAGCATATAATTAAAAATTGAATTAGAAATATATACTTGATTGAAATATTTTTAAAATACATGCAAACAAAAACCATGAAATAATACTGCATGGCTATTAGTTTAATTCTAGATGTCTATTGATCACTATATGCTTAATACTAATTAATTTTACATGAAAAATATTTATCGCATTTTTATTTGGATTTCTAGCTGTGGTTTTCTGACTTATGTGTGAGTGGAGCAGCGGTGATTTATTTGAATCAATGTCTTGTTCTTACCGGGGAATAAAATTTTCATTCTAATTCTTTATTTGCTTACATGTCATGTCCAGAGACATCAAGTTGGAGGTGTGGGTGTTTGATGGTAAAGGGGTAGTGATTCTATTTAGCATGCATGTTTAAGAGATATAGTCTTTGCAGGACAGGTAAAGTAAATCTTTCCATGTCTTCTTCGCGTAATTATTTCATTTCAGTTTTATTACTACTACCACTACTATAATTTGGTGTATGTGTATGTGTCTATGTATGCATGAAAGAATCCACCCTCAGTCAGAGCACATCAGATCACTGTTTTTTTTAAATGATTTGAGACTGCCAGAGACTAAATCTGTGATGAGATAATAGATATATTTTGTGTCCATTTTTTGTGCTTCCCATGTTTCTCATCACTTTTAGATATTTTTGGGATCTTAATTAACTATTATTATTAATTAATTTTTTGGTAATAATCTTTTTGTATTCTTATTTTATCTCTGCATGCGTCTGTCTACACAAGTATGCTTAATAATAATAATAATAATAATAATAATAATAATAATAATAATAATAATAATAATATGTTCAATAATAATGTGTAGGATGTTTTTATAATTTAAAGTAGTAGTTTTGTATTGTGCAAAGAACATGTTGGGCCTTATATAACTTACAGGCTATCATCTCTTCGGATATGGAATATAAAGCTATAAATAGAATAAAGTGATGCATTGTTTGTTCTCCATGGTCTTCTTTTATAGTTGCTAGTGGAAACTCATCAAACTAACAAAGTCTTGAAGGAGATAGTGTTGGTTGTTCTCTTTTTTTTTTTTGTCCGGCATTGTTTTGAACTTGGCTGAAGGAGATGGTGATTGTTTGTTGTGATCCAATTCTCAATTGTTTTTGAGATTTCATTGTTGGGTGATTCTCAGACATTAGCAAATTATCAGAGTGATGTTTACAAAGCACTGGGGATAGCAGAAGAGCAATGTGAGCTTTAAATGGGCATGTCCGAAGACTTTGAGCTTGTTGTGAGTGATTTCTACTACGCGCCTAAATTGCTAATATTCCCGAAAACCAACAGCTCATTAAATTATTTTCTTGTCTGACAATGCAGATTGAGATGGGCAGAACATAACCGAGTTCCATGATGTTTTGTGATTATTATGCATAAGATTCGTCCTAAGTTATAGCCTTCAAAGAGCAATAGGTACTTCAAATACCAACTTTAGTGGGTGTTTAATTTAAATGGATCCCCGATGAAACAGTATAAAAAATGCAGTACTTGTGAAACCAAACTTAATGCTTTTGTGCGAAAGGCATGTATCACATAGCTTATTATTATCAATTTTTTTTTCGCATTAATGCAATTGCTTCTTTATGTTGGAATTTAGTTGTTGTTGGGATATGTCATCAGTTTTGCATGAAATTTTAACATGGGATGTTCTTTCTTTTCAACATCATTGCTAAATACATTTTGTTTCTATTATAATGTATGTAGTTCATTAGATTTTTTTTTAAATTAAAAATTTGTATCCAGTTTTATTTAATTTTTGCATATTTGACGAGAGTTATTAATTCAGATTTTCAATTGATTTATTGTGGAGGATTGAATTAATATAGGTATATACATCTTTGGAATAGCAGAGATAAAAATAAGCTAAAGGATTGAGTAATAATAGAGATTTTGTGACGGAATTAGCAACATAATTAATGCATTGTAATATTCTCTAATATTGCGACGGAATTAGCAATAGAAGAAATGCATTGCAATATTCTCTAATGTTGCGACGGCATTAAGAAGAGATTATTCACTTGCAATATCGTTGCAATTTTCTGCGACGGAACCTCAATATCGTCGTTTCGGAGTTGCAACCAAATATTTACGACGGTTCCTATTTGGATGTAAAATCCATCACAATGTAAATTTGCAACCGAAAACTATCAAGTTGCGACGAAATAATTCCGTCTTAACTTGCGATATTTTTTGTAGTGTTATTTTCACCTTATGTTTTCATCAATTTTTCTATTAAACCGTCGGTGGCGATTTCTTTACGACTAACATTTATATTTTGTGTTCTTTAAATTCATAGGTGTGTTTGAATTTTAAAAATTTTGATGTTATTGATCTAATGGATAATGATTGTGTGTTGGTGTAAAAGTATAATATAATAATTTTTTTTTTGTAAATTAAAAATAATATTAAGAAAAATTTTGTTAACTCAAATGCACTGACATATTTTTGTAAATTTAATAAATAAATAAATAAATAAATATACATAGATATAGATATATATAAACCTCAGCTCTTTAGAATCTACCATCGTAGACTACATGAGTTGTCACATTGGGTGTGTTTCATGCCTATTGAAGCTGAACAACAACAATATAGTTAAATTTTTCCAAACTCCTAAAGAAACACACTTTATGTTTTGTGTTTGTGTTACATGTTTAAATAGTGATTAAATTTGATGTTTTTAAAGCCATCAAAATGGATTGAATCTTCCAAATTGGCCTGTATCCTTATTTTTTAAATGGATTTGAGTTGTAATTTTCTAGGTTTATTAAAATACAGGCCTAAACAAATTACTTCATACGGCCCACAAGTTAAAAGTAAATTAGCATGTAGTGGTACGGATTAGCACTTTAGCATCCAGTCAATTAAATATGATAATAATTATATATATATATATATATTATAATTATATGATATTTTTAATATTATATTTTACTGTCTAGTTACAGTGTTAGAATGAAAAATCAGCATCAAAACATTATATCTAAATTATTGTCCAAAATATTATTTAAAAAAAATACCAACTAGACACACATTTGGAGTTTTGAAATTTTGGAAGACGAACAATGTGATATTTTTGTAAGAATAACTAAATATGAAATTGAATTTAATGTAATTTAAAATATATATATATATATATATATATATAAAGATACTATGAATAAATAGCATGGAAAATCATTTTGACGGCATAAATGCTCTTCCAAATCTTATGCACTCAACTAGGATAATTAGGCCCATATATATAAAAAGTAGAAGCTTGCCAAAACTTCACCAATACCAAACCTTAATAAATAAATGGATAAATGAATAAATAAAGATAGAAACAGAGAAATTGATAGACAATAAGGGGACATATGAGTCATGTGTGTATCATGTATGTGTCCCAAAATCAAGAATTCATACATCTTGGGACGAATCAGATCAGAGTTCCATTTGATCAAGTAATAAAGTGGGCAGGGCTTTCTCTATTTTTTAATAAAGAAGCAAATTGGAATATTTCTTGTGATCAACAACCACATAAGATTTTTATTATATATATATATATATATATATATATATATATTACATAATTTCCAAGATTAGACAGCTCAAAAAGAATGCTTATGATCAACCTCGTATCATCCACATTAGTTGTAATTGATTTTCTTGTCTACCCTCTCACTACAAATAAAAGCCACATGAATTCCCAATCAATATATTTCACTTGAAAAACACAAACAATAACAAAGATTCCAATGGCAAAACCCTCACTCAAACAAATGTCCAAAGCCCTCTTAAACTTAGCCTTTCTTGGAATGATAATTATTTCTTGTCTCACAACCAATCCACTACCCAATTCTTACCACCAAAGAGAATCTCAAGAAGAAGACATTGATTGCCAAAAGATTCATCAAAACTCTCGAACAAAGGATCAAAAATGTTCATATGTAAGATCCCATCAAGGGTGCAATCCAAGAGGATACATTCCTTATCTCCACTTCTTCTATTGCACTTTCACCCCTTATTTTCTTGACTACATTTTCATCACCCTTTGGCTTATCATACTCTTCTATTTATTAGGCGACACGGCGAGCAATTACTTTTGTAGTTCACTCATCGGTCTGTCAAAATATTTTAAACTATTGCCAATCATATCGGGGGTGTCCCTCCTTTCTTTAGGGAATGGGGCACCCGATATATTTGCAAGTGTGATATCCTTTACGGTGAATGAGTCCGTTGATATTGGCTTGAATAGTACTCTTGGGGCTGCGGTCTTCGTAATTTGCGTCGTCTTTGGACTTATATGCTTATATGTCGATCCATCTTGTGTTATCATCAACAAGAAGATTTTTATTACAAATGTCGTGTTTTTACTATTGTCCCTTGCTTGTCTCGTCGTGATCATCATAGTTGGCCATGTTGGTATGTATGGCGGCATTTCTCTCATTTTCTTGTATTTTATATATGTGATCGTTGTTTTCACAACATCTGGCGAGGACTATGATGATCGACACGGCGATCTAAGCACACCGTTGCTAGGGCACACAAGGAGCGATCAAGGGCTAAATCTAAGCTATTACGAAATTCGAGAAAATCAAGAAAATGAAAAACGCACAAAAACATGCACACAAGAAGACAGGACTTTGTTGATCCAATTCGATCATAATGATTTACGTCTGGAAGCGGCCATGCTAGGTCAAGAGACTGGATGTACAGTACTTCTTCATACTCCAATTTGGGCTTCACAATACAACATAAACGATCCAATTCGGGTCCAAGACCCTAACAAGGAAGGGAGATTTTTAAATTTTCTCGACCAAACGTTGTGCATGTTGGAGCTGCCACTCGACTTGCCACGTCGACTAACAATTCCCGTCGTCTCACCCGACAAATGGTCCAAGCCATATGGTGTGGCTGCAGCCACATTAGCCCCTCTTACATTGGCACTTATAATTTTCCCTACAGAAGAGGCAAAGACAAGAGCTTTAGCCTATGCAATAGGTGCATTGATAGGGATTCCATCTGGGATTCTTTTATCCTTAAATTCAGACAAGAAGAATCCACCAAGAAAATGGGTAGTCCTATGGCTTGTAGAAGGTTTCACAATGAGCATTTGTTGGACATACTTGTTGGCACAAGAATTGGTGTCCTTGTTAGTGTCACTAAGCCTAATTTTGGGGATGAGTCATTCCTTAATAGGGCTGACAGTTCTTGCTTGGGGGAACTCAGTGGGTGACTTGGTTGCCAACGTAGCAATGTCAAGGAATGGAGGGTTGGATGATGTCCACGTGGCGACATCTGGATGCTTTGCTGGGCCACTGTTCAATGTTCTTGTGGGGTTGGGATTGTCACTTGGGATATCAGCTTGGAGGGCTTATCCAAATGATTATGAAATTATTTGTGTTGGGGTTTCAGTTTATGTGATTTCTGGGTTTTTGGTATTGGGGATCATTTGGACAGTTGTGGTGCTTTTGAAGGGGAATAATAATAATAATAAATGGTTGGGGTGTGGGCTTATTGCAATTTATGCCTGCTTTTTGTTTGTCCAAATTTTAATTAATTTGGACAATATTGAATTCAATGTGCCCGCTTGATTCTATGTGTTATTTTTTTTTTGCTTGTAATGAATTAAGTGTTAGACGTTAGCTGGGGCGATTTCAATGGAATTCATTTTACAAATTCTGTTTATTAGCATTTTGTTTTTTAAAATTTAATCTATAGTGTTTATAGATTTTTTATTATACATCCTCTATCTCGCAAATAGGTATATATTTACGTTTTGCAAAAGATATTATTAAGAAATAATAACGTTTAAATGGTAGTTCGTGATATTTTGTGTGTAACATTTTTTTTTTCCTTTTTTTTTTTTGTCATTATGCTTTACTTTGATGTAATATAGTGACATAAATAAATGTAAATTTAAAGATATTTATAATGTATAGTGAAGTTAAAAATCTAGTAATATATATATATATATATCTTCTTATGTCATAGACAAAAATGACTGTATTTTTTTGCCTATTTTGTTTTTCAAATTTTACTATTTGAATTATCTTATTCTTCCAAAAACAATACTATTTTTTTTATATATAAAATATCTCATTAAACATTGTTTTAATACTATATTTAAACTAATTTTTTTCAAACTTTATCCAAAAAACACACCCCATATATATATATATATTTTGTTGCAGAATGGAAAGAGCATTTCCCATTTAAAATATTTTAAACTTGTTTTTATACTCCAAGCAATTCAATATATTAATAAATTAAAACACACTTAACTCAGCGAAATAATAATAATATGATTGTACATATGCTATCGCTGTCTATCCAAATTAAGAATCTTATGTAACCATTAAATAAAAATTTTGGGTGTGAATTCTTGTTGATGTAATTTGCATAATATTATCTTTGGTTAGAAATTTACATAGCATGCATGCGAAAAATAACAGCAGCAAGTTCCTATATTACTAATATGTCAATCATACATAATACTCCATCTGTCCACAGTCAATCTATCTATTTTGTCATTTTAGTCTATCAATAGCAAATATTCAGTTAGAAAGTATACATATTTATATTTTGGTACGTCCAATTACAAAGTAAATATTTCATTAAATACCTCACTTTTTTTTCACAAATACCCCTATTTTACATCACATCATTACTTTTACACCAAAAAGCAAGGGCAAAAATATCATTACACTACTTTTAACTACTCATTATAATTAAAATACTATTATTTCTTAAACACCGCGCCAAAAGTAATTGTATACTTTATGTGTGGACGGAGGGAGTATTACACAAATGCCATCAAATAACACTACTTAATACCATAAATGTTAAGGGGTATAATAGTCTTTATGTATATCAATTGTACCACATATCAATATAATACTAATATACTAAAATCTACGTGCAAAAAGTAAACAGATAGATAGGCGGTGGACGGAGGTAGTACAATGCCTCTTTGATATTGCAAATTAACCCTAGAAGTTACATTTCAATTAAACAGTATGTTTGATTTATATTTGTATTTGTTATTTAGATGATGATAGGATATTACGAATTTATAATGTGTAAAAGAAAATAATAATTTTTTACATAAAATCACAATAGATATGTTGTGTTCTGAAGTCCAGTCTAGAGCATATTGTACATTCTAAAATCTATATATAATTGTTGTATTCTTTCAGCAACATACACAAAAAATACTAGTGAAACTATTTAGTTTGACCACCCGGACGTATATCAATCTAATCGAATCGAGTCAACAAAATATTCGTCTTCTTGGGTGTGATCTTGTGTGTTTTTCATTTTTTTTATTTTTCTAATTTTCGTAACGGGATAAATAATAAATAATTTAAAAGAAAAAAAAAAAAGATCACAAATCTAAACTACAATAATTAATAATTAGGTTTTCATAGCAATAAGAACATGTTTCATTACGCCCACTTGAACTTTAAAGTGAAGCAATGTAATCTATGATTTCCATAATTAGAAATGTTTCATCCTCCATGGCATCCCCTCTGGGCACGAGCCCTCGAAGCACGTATGTCATATTTTTCATTTTCTAAGCCCATCTCAAGAGAGCACTCCGGCGCGAGCATGTGGCATGTATTGCCTTTAGTTTTTTCGCCGCCATGACATTTCTCCATCTTTTTTTCAAGATTTTATTGCTACATTTGGTAAAGGCGATTTTGAAAGTTGTGGTCGTCGCTGCCTGGCTCCAATTGGTCGAGGGGTTTTTGGTAGCGCCTATGGAGTCGGAGGAGAGTTTTATTACATTTTTTCGATCTTGAATTGTCATTTCTATGTTCAAGTTGGTGTAGATTTGAACCCATTTGTTGAGGAACTCTTGTTTTATTACATTTTTTCGATCTTGAATTGTCATTTCTATGTTCAAGTTGGTGTAGATTTGAACCCATTTGTTGAGGAACTCTTGTTTTATTACATTTTTTCGATCTTGAATTGTCATTTCTATGTTCAAGTTGGTGTAGATTTGAACCCATTTGTTGAGGAACTCTTGTTTTTGACGTGACCATGAATTGTGCATTATTCTGCAAAACAAATTTCTGTAACTATTAAAGGGCTACATGTTGAATTTATTTATTTATTTTGATCGGATACTTGTTGAATTTATTTTACAATTATGTTGTTCAACATATGTATTTGCTTAGTGTTTTAATTTGAAGTATTTTTTATGTGAGATATAAGAAATTGTATAATTAATATATAAAATAGTATTTACGTTAAACATTATATTATATATATTTGTTGGGCTTAAAATGTGAGGAAAATTCAGCCAAGAAAAAGTAACCTAAGGAAGAACGAGCAGCCCAGGCAAAAACAAAGGAAGCAGGCATAATGGGCCGGGAAGCAGTAGCAGAAGTGAAAAGAACGGCGTCCTGCGGAAACAGATGGAAAAAGTGAAAGAATGGATTGTATTTATGAATTTCATGACTCATGGGACAATAATTGCATTATAAGTTAACTATTAAATGAGCTAAAGGGGGAAGTAATGATTGAAAACTTTGAGAGGTTTCGACTATGAAGTAATCACCAAATTATGAGTCATTAGACGATAGGGTTACAAGTGGCGGTTTTGGGAAGTTATGAGGAGATTAATGGAGGATTTCAATGAAGTTAGGAGAAGTGGCTAAAGGGAAAAGTTATAAAAGAAGATGAGTCGCAACAGAAAAGGGGTCCTTGACCAACACAATTTTCAGTTTTTATATCTTTACTTTTTCATTCCAGAATTTTACTTTTTCCACACTTTATTAGCTTTCTTTATCATTTTTTTTCTACTCTGCTTATACATTTTCTTTCAATTTAATAAAAAGCAGGACCTGCAGACCCTGATAGAAGCCATAACAATATACTCCAGATGGAGTTAAGGAACCTCTTGCGAATCCATTAGTGGCAACCCCGATGTGTGTTGGAGGAAAAAATCATGCATGACGAAGCCGGTATAAATTTCCCAGAAGATTTCACTGGTAGTAACTTGTTTGAGGGTCACAAGGATGACCCATTGGGCAATGCACTATTGAAGGATGATGATGAGTCCAAAGCTAGTTTCACTATCATCGTGAACGACGAGCATTTAAAAATGACGATGAGATACCACAAGGATTCACTGTCAATATGATAGGGATTCTTTTGAAGGAGTTTATGGGACTACCGGTTCAGCCACAATTTCAACAAGGGTATGTCATGGTAGACGAGTTTAATCCGATACTATGGGCGGAAGATGCAGGGGAACTAGAGGAATTTAAGCAAGAGAACATGATTTTTAAGAAGCCAACAGAAGAATCTACCTGACACTTGAAACCGCTTTTATTTACCATTGCTCTGAACGGAAGGACAATAAGCAAAGTATTAGTTGATGGTGGAGCTTCTGTCAAATATCATGACGCTAGAAACATTGAGGAAAATCGAGAAAACTAGAAATAAAATGAGACCGAAGGCAATGAGGACAGCGGAGTTTACAAGAAACGCCTACTGAAGTGGTGGTAGCAGATGTTATTGTTGAAAGTAGGAAGCATAGGATGACGTTTTTAGTAATCGAAGGAAAACTAACTTATTCTACCATTCTAGGACGTGATTGGATACACACCTCCCAGTGTGTACCCTCTACTAGTCACCAAAAAGTGATGTTTAGGAATGGTGACAAGGTGGAAGAGGTTGAAGTGAAAATTGATCCGTTGATAGAGGTCCACACTGTGGAACTAATATATTATTTGCCGAATGTGTACCTTTTATCCATGATGACTCAAGGGTGTGAAGAGTGGGTGCAATTTTACCACCTAGGGTTTTAAGGCTCGAGTTAAGGCCGACTCATGGCTGGATTTCATGGAAGAAAATGATGATTGACGATTACGAGTTCATCAACAAATGGGAGGACCGGCTGCAGAAGCTATCATGCCAAGAGATGGAACAATTAACGGAACCCACTGGGGGCAGTCGGAGCCTGAAGAAATATTGACCCCTGAGAATAATCATGACGAGAATCTTATCTTGTCGATTCAGCACAAGGTTCTGCCATTCGAGGCCTAGGATCCACTAGAAGATGTTAACTTATGAAGCGATAAAGAGCCTCGAGTTACTAAGATTAACACGTTGTTGGTTCAGGAACAAAAGAAGCATATGGTTGAGCTGATTAAAGAGTTTTGAGAATGCTTTTCTTAGGAATATCATGAGATGCCTCGGTTAGCACGAGGATTGGAAGAACACCGATTGCCTACTAAGCCTTCTTGCCGACTACATAAACGACCACCAAGACGGTTTAACCAAGACCTGCTTCCAAAAATCAAAGAGAAAATTGAGAAGCTCCTGAAGGCCAATTGTATCCGCAGTTGTAGGTATCCGGAGTGAATATCAAATATTGTACAGTGATTAAGAAAAATGAAAAGTTGAGCGTGTGTATAGATTTTAAGAATTTAAATCTAGCCATACCTAAGAATAACTATGTAATGACAATGGGTGTCTATGTTGGTAAACGCTACTGCCGAATATCAAATTTTATCGTTTATGGATGGGTATTCTGGGTATAACCAAATTTATATTGCTGAAGAAGATACCCATAAAATAG